TGAAGTTATAGATTGTAGGGTATAACTACTTGTCTTTTTTAGAATAAACAGCTTGTTTAAAATCTTTCTACTCTATATGGAGGTTCAAAATTATCTTTGAAGATGCATTTAATCAGGAATTTTAAAATCTCATAAATTGATTATTAATGGTAAAACAGAATAAAGAAATACACTCAATAATACACTATGTGGTATATAATTTATTAATTCAACATGTTTTAATTTCAGGATCCTAAAGTTCTTTAGCATCAATATTATCAAGAAACTATTATTACATATTTTAGAGTAACATTTTTATTTGAACATTTTGTTTAGAACTTTGCTGATGGGGAGTATTTGTTTTCTTTTATGTTGCTATTTAACTGTATTTATACTGTAGGCCATAATTCATTTTACCTTCATTTTAAATAAAATTTTATACTACTTCAAGACAAAGACCCAAACACACTCATACACACATTTTTACTTAAAGTTTTCTTTTAAGGATTTATAAAAATCTAACCAAAAGGGGAGAAATTTTGTTTTTTTGCTAGTAGAGAAATGCTGTTTTCTTTGATAGAATATTAAGAGCCAGACTTCAACAAGATGGTTAGGTATTAAAAGTGACAACTTGGCAGTAAAGTGCAACTTCCTTTCAGGGTACACAGGGCCAACCTGAGGTTGAGGGGAAGGAAGATGCTTTGATTTATGTAAGAAATAAGGAGACAGTTCTGTTCGTTTGACATGTTTGAAGTCTTATCACGAGGGTATAAAGCAAATCACAAATGTAATGTTTGTAATGATCTGACAACTATAGTCTTCCATTTAACTAAATGATTTTCTACTTTCTATCTATATATGTATAATAGCATAGTATAAAGGTTTCCTGAATTATTATTAATATACACAATCCTGCTGCTTTTGCATCTTTTCAAACACAGTATTCAAGTTAAAAAGATTAGATGGCTGGCTAAATTTTGTTTTTTACACAGCTGTATGGTAAAGGAAGGTATTTCCATAAAAACCACTGCTAAATGTCTGTCCAAAAGAAGGGAATTTTTTATATGCTTAACATAAAAAAAAAAACCAAGAATACTATGGATTATAACATGTGATTTAAAGCATAGCTTATTCTTCCCCACTCTGTCCTCACTTGTACCTCTCCCAACTTAGTCTTTCACCAATGAGGTTGTTTAAAATGTCACCATCACAAATAGCTATTATATAACCCATTTTCTTCACAAATCTATTAAAGCTATGTTGATTTTATTTCTCCTCTACTGTACCTTCTTCCTCACCTCAGGTGCTCTAAATCCCTTGCTTGGACTGCCGCAGTGCTCCTCTATCTAACTCATCTTCTCCAAAGCTGGCCATCCTCTATTTGACCTACACAAAGCCAGCTAAATTCAAATCTGAGTGTTTCTCTTTGTTCTCCAAAAGTTCCCTATCACCTTCAATGAAAAATTCTAAAGTTCTTGGACCTGTATATAAACCATTCTCTAATATAGTTTGTTTTTTCAACTTCATTTCTCAACATTTCCTTGTATGAATCCTATGCCCAGACACACTATAATTAATTATTAACAAAACAAGCTGTGATGTACCATACCATTATCTCTCAGCACATGCCTGGCTAAGTCTCCTCATCCTTTCAGGGCCACCTCAAGCAGTTCCTTCCCTTGACGCCTTTTCTAACCTCCACCAGATAACTTGACACCTTCATGAGTACATCCTAAGTGTCTTCTCTACATTTTTGTACCTCTCACGCCTGGCATGGTTCTTAGAATATAGTAATGATTTAATAAAAACCCGCTGAATTACTCCCTTGGAGAAAATTCTCTGAGGTAGATATAAGAAGACAAAAGGCATTTGCATTTTTATAGCTTTTAATGTGTTATAGAAATTGGCTCCTAAAGGGGTTATACAAATGTATATGCCATTAGAAATGTATTATGTACATAAGTTCAAGATCCCATGAGCATGGGACAGTATCTTTTAGAAAGACAAGATACAAAATTGTGTTTTATTATGTATGTATTAGCAAAATATATTTATTTTTGGAGACAGGGTCTCACTCCGTTGTCTGGGCTGGAGTGCAGTGGCATGATCTTGGCTCACTGCAACCTCCACCTCCCAGTCTCAAGTAATTCTCCTGCCCCAGCCTCCAAAGTAGCTGAGACTACAGGCATGCATCACAACACCTGGCTAATTTTTATTATTTTTTGTGGAAATAGGATTTCACCATTATGTCCAGGCTGGTCTCGAACTCCTGGACTCAAGCAATCTGCCTACATCGGCCTCCCAAAGTATTTTACAGATGTGAGCCACTGTGCCCAGCTGAATGGGTTCACTTCACTTTCTACAGTAAAAGTAATATTCCATCAGCGAGCCTTGGGGAGAAAAGACAAGTGGGTGGGAGTGTGTGAGTTTGTGCTGTTTGTTGGAAGAGCCCTGAGGGAGTTCACAGCATCCAGGTCTTATGAAGTAGTAAGTCCATTGAGTGTGGTAGAAGGTATGGCAGAGGCATTGATAGGAATAAGAAAGAACCCTGTTCCTGTTTAGGTGAAGCTGAAAAGCATCAATCTTTAGTGGCCATCATTAAAGGCCATTCTCTGTAATCCTGTCGAGTTATAAGTACTGAGTAAGGAGCATTATTCTGAAGACAGGTTAATTAAAGCCATAAAGATGATTCTAGACAAAGGACAAAGAAGCAGAATTCAGTACCATACTTTTTGCCTACTGGGCATCAAATCAGTTACTTTCACCTCTATGATCTAATTTCTCTTTTCTTTTACATTTTTCTTTGACAGCATTATTATTATTCAAATGAAGGAGTAAAGGTGCAGGACTATAGTAATTACTGAGTGGCTGAGGCAGAATGATTGGGGTAAAAATAGCCAAAGATGTTGGTGAGAGAAAGTTCAAATAGTCAAGAATAGGGTATAAACTGGGTAAGAAAGAAGGAGAGGCAAGGTGGGTGCTAGGATGAAATGAAAGGGTTGAAGACTGGAGATAATTATGAGGGAAAAAAGGCAGGTATGAAGGGGACATGACAGATCTTACTTTTTTAAATCTTTATTTCTATTTGAATTCTCACAAGAGATTGAAACGATAGAACTTTAGCTAATTTTAATTAAAATTTGTAAGGTTTTGATGTTTTATAATCTAAACTTAGAGTCAGAAAATTCTGACTCCAGTGAGAAAACATCTTCAACAGAAAGCCAGATGGCCTCCAAGTAATATGTTATTTGAAAATCGAAATGTAAATATTACCACAATACTTGCTTATTTTAAGACAATGGTCCTTTCATTGTTTTCTTTCTTTTTTTTCATTTAGTCATGTAAATTTGAGCACCTACTCTGTACCAGGTATCCAACGGGAAATATTATAGACAAAAAGAACATTCTACATAAACTTATATAAAAGGTGCTTTAGCATTTTTCCAACAAGTAAACATAATGTTCTTGATTTAGTGTTATAATCTTTATTATGTTCAAAAATAATTCCTCTGTTCCAATTTAAATATATATTATCTAAACTTATATATTTATATATACACATATACAAACCAGCAAAAAAATACATAAACCAGTACACACACATACACGTTGCTGGATTTTATCCAAGTCTATTGGTCATCTATTAAAATGATCATTTATAATTTGCTTAATTTTAACTATACCTTTGGCCTTTAAGTATCTTTTTTAGTGTTATATTTATTTATAGGAAATGTCATTCTAATTCTGGAATAGAGTCTATTTGCTCATGTTCATTCAAAGTATTGCTGGATTCTATTTATGAATATTTTATTTGGCACTTGTATCAAAATTTATACCACATAAAATTTAAAAAATGAAGCCTACAACCATTTTATTAATGAAAATAATAAAAAAATGCACTCTCAATGAGCCATTTGCCGTATTTCCCTATTTTCTGGCTTAGAGATAAATCAGGGTCAGTGTAATAGCAGTTGTGTCCAAGAAAATATAACGTCAAGGGGCCAGAATTAAATCCATACAGAAAATGACTGTGTTCATTTTAGAGTACATCTTTAAGTGGGCAGTTTTGGGGAGTAGAAAGGGCAAAAGCCAAACTGAATGGGGTTAATAATGAATAGATCTTAGGAACGAGAAGCTGCTATTGCAGGCTACCATTTTGAGAACTTGCCCCAAGAAAGAAAAGACTGAAGGGATGGAAGCTTGAAGAAAGCAGGATCGGAGGAGAGATATTTTACTTTTAGTGAAACTCTATACATATTTGTCTTCCTCACTAGATCTGTATCCCTAGAACATAGAACAGAGTCAGCCAAAGAGCAGGCACTCAATACAAATTGTTGACTTGCTGCTAAAATTGTAAGAGTACAAAGAACATCCTAGAAGTTGGAGACAAAGGGGATAAGAAAACAGGGTTAACTTGGAAAGAGAAGACATTCAAGTCTGACAAGAATGAAGACGATTACCATCATCATCATTGCCAATCAAATCCTTTGGGAATAAAAGGTTAAATTCTAATCATCACAACAGTCTCTAAAAGAATAAATAGGACTTACAGGGTTTAAGAACAAAATAGTTCTCCTCTTTCCATTTTCTACAGTGCAACCAAGAGCAACATCAAGTTGGGCTTAACCAACTCTTAGAGAAAAGTCAGAGATAATCCAGATTGTAAAGCGTCCGGGTCCCCTGCTTCTCATTTCCTCCTTTCTGTCGCTCTGACAACAGACTGGGCAAAGATGGAAAACAAAACAACGTACCAAACTGTGTAGGCTTTAGCGGCTCTGATAAATGGATTTAGGGCTATGTTAGGACAACTGTTAAAATGGACTCTTTAAGATAGCAAAACATTTAACTTATTTGTGCAGTTTCTCTAAGTAGTACGACAAATTAGGAAGTAGCTAATATGTAAGTAAAGAACATAATGGCATAATTCTAGAAGGTAAAAAATAATCCCCATAGAATACGTAGTTGATGTATTTTAAAATTCACAAAAATGTTACAAAGTTGAAGAATGGGAGTAGGATAACAGAGTGGTGGGGGAAGCAGCCACAGAATTGGATAAAATGATATAATTTCAGGTCTAAGGTGAGCCGCGTCAGTTGCTAAAGCAAATATCTGTACTAAGATGACTTGCTAGTTTTGATCACCCTGCGTCAAAGGTAATGGGAATCTAATTGGAAAAAAGATGGGCCCCGGTTTCAACATCGCTACACTGGCAGCCACAAGCTGGGAAGGATACAGGTAACCGCTAGGTCGGTGATGCCCGCCGCTCTCCCGAGGGCCAAGGCAGGCTCTGTCGAAGTTGTTCGATGATTCAGTGCCCAGTCCCCCGATCGCGCTCCGGGCTCCGGGCCTCCCAGCCAGCATCCTTCACCTCAGCGCCGCCTCCTCGATCGCCCCCAGCGCCTCCCTCATGGCAGCTCTGGCTTCCTCCTCCTCCTGCTCTGCCCCTCCCTACACTCCGTCTCTCAGGCTGCGCGTCACGGAAGGGTTGGCCGCGATAGCCCTAGCTCCCGCGCAGCGGCACCGGTGCCTGTAGTCGCGATGGCAGCTGAGGCAGGGGCGACCTCGCCTGGCAATAGCAGAGGGGGCAGCATCAACCCCGCAGCCGCCATCTTGATAACCAACCGACGCTGCGTCCTTGACAACGGAAACCTGGGTGGAGCTACAGGGCGGGGCGGGACGATGTGCCTGAGGCAGCCAATCGCAGGCGCCGGCGGCCCCGCCAGCTTCTAGTGGCCTGTGGCAACCTGGGCATCCCTAGGGACCTGCGTTATTGCGGGTGGGGTGAGCTGAGTGGTGTTTCAGAGCCTGATCCAGTTCTAGCCACTTTTTATGAGTGTTTCTGTGGCAGTATTGACAGCGACGAAAGACAAGGAGATGTGAAATCCCCAGATGCACGCAATTGCCACCGGGAGGATTCTGCAATGATTGTCTGGGGGATAATTTGGAGTTGAATTTGTTAAACTACTGAATCCTGTTGTGACATTTTGAGTTGTGAGTCTTTCAGTGGCATCACTATCCCCAAACACTGTCTGTTTAAAATGTTTTTGTGAAGTAGAAATTTTCCTTCTCTGCATTCTCTCATCCACTCGGTAATGCTTCTGGCATTCCCCCTCTGCAGTCGTCTTCCTTGCCTTTGCCCTACTTATAAGGTCTACATTTCAAAGCCTCCTAATGGTTCTTGCCTTGCTGCCAGATTCTGGAAATGGACCATCACAGCAAACCTAGCAATCACTTGGGAAGATATGCCAAAAGAGAGCATCGCATCAAAATGGTTTTGGGAAGTAGGGAAAATTAAGTGGACTTTTGAGCCACTGGTTTAATGGCTATGCAAGTGAAAATTTTGAAAAAGGCTCAATCTGATTGTTGGAGCCTAATGTAAATGCACATGTAAATTCTGACAGTATTTCAGTGTTTTCTTGGGAAAATTCCCAGATTGGAAGCAGAATGTACAGACCAAATAAAGATCATTCACCCACCATTCTAATGTCTTTGCCTTTGTGAATTAATTTGTTCATTTTTAGAGTTCAAATAATAAACTTTTCCAGTTGAAAGTATTTAAAACAATCTTTGCAAACGTCGTTGCAATGACTCAAATTGGAGTGTACTCCGGGGACAAATTTTAAAGTGCCACAATAAATCCAGTTTCGATTTAAGACACAAAACACATTAAGTCTCTACGCTAACAGGATAAAATATACAATTCTGACACAAAAACCTAAATGTATACAATTGGACACTTCACTATCTTGGCAAGGTTTTAATTGGCCTACCCACAGGCAATGGCCTTGATTCTATTCCCAAGGCTGTCATCCCAAGTTTGTCTCCCCATGGCTGATCTGAGCAAAGAAGGGCAGTGCAAAGTACAGATGAGTAATGGAATGTTAGGGTTGCTATTTGGAGTATTTAGGCATGATTAGCACTGCTTTGTGGCTTCATATATTAGCACTAAGAAGCATAATTTGATTTCTCAGTGCCTACAAATCCTTGCTTATGTTAATTTTAAAAAAGTAATTTATAAATCTAGAAAGGAGAAGAAAAGGTTACAGCCTGAAGCCTAGAGAGGCAGGTACTTTGAAGGAGGAGAGGCTGAGGTGGGAGATTTATGCTGAAAAAGTTGGCTAACCATGCATAATTCATAGGTTATAGGAGAAGCTATGAATATTTTTGAAGGTAGTTCTGATGCATGTGTATTGAACAAACATGAATGTAACATATAATTCATGTTCATTTTGGCCTAGAGATTTAACACTTAACTGCATTACAATTATGCCCTATTATGTCTAAATTTTTTAGAACACAAAGACTCTTAAGAGAGCAGTGGCCTTAGACCACCCAGAACTACCTCATGGTTGGTGCTCTTCTTATCAGAGAAAGTTATTGAAATCAGTCTCTTGTCCAACCAAAGCTGTAGTTATGGCTTGTGGAACAGGAGTCAGTTAGTCAGTGTCTGGTGGTGAGCTACCTTGTTTTACTATCGCTTATCTCAAGGCCAGTGTTTGTTTAACCTGCTAGAGAAAAACAGAAACATTGTGGCAGTTAAAACATAGTTTATTCTTTAAGTGTAGGGGTGCATGACTTAACCCTTGCCTGGGATGGCCTTAGGTCCTATTTGTAATTTGATACCTTATTGCCACCAAGCATCTGTTTTGCCAGTCTTATGATCTCTATTTTAACATTAATGCTGGTCAGCTGTGCCTAAACTACAACAGAAAGAGGATATAATGAGGCATATCTAACTTCTCATCCTATTACAGCAGGGAGCTCAGTTTTAACATTTTCTCAGGGTCTTCTTGGCCAAGAGGGGTTCTATTCGGTCAGTGGGGGGGTTAGGATTTTATTTCAGTTTAGACTTATATAATTATTCTTCATTCAAATATCGTTTTACAGTAACAACCAAGAAGAAAAGAAATATCAAACAATGTTGCCAGCTTTAAAAAAAAATAATAGGTTGTTTTGACCTTTAAGTTCTTTATTTCTTCAAAATATTAAGCAGGCTTTCCACTTTCTATTTAAGTTGTATAGTCCTAGATTCTTTTAGACAGGCAGGGCCCAAGGGGCTCTGAACATTGTGACCCTTGATTTTGTCATGACACTTTTGTCAGTGTTACTTATGGGAAGAGACTTTAGGATTAGATATTTGGATAATAAAAAAATTGTGGATTTTATAAATTTTATTTCTTGACAGGAAAGGCAATTGTGATTCAAGCATTAAAGAAGAATATTGCACTAAAATCCCTATATCTTATCAGAAGGGGCACCTGAGTTGCATATATTATATTCTTTCACTTTCACACTTTGAAACCATAAAACAATGCCTTCTTTTGTTAAGGAAATATACATTGAGCGCCTACTATGTGCTAAGCACTTTCTAGGTGCTAGGGATACAGTGAATAAAACTTCAAAGTCCTTATGTTCATGAAGCTTATATTTATTTTTCTTCCCCACTAGAACATATTAGGGTAGTGAAAAGTGCTATATGGAGAGTGGGATAGTGGAGGGGGATAGAGACCAATGTCAGTCCTATCTGTGAGAGAGTGCTCAGGAAAGGCCCCCAAAGAAGGGAAATGAGGACAGGCGCCTGAATGAAGGAAAGAGGTTGCCATTCAAGTGTCTGGATGAAGAATAAAGGCACGGGGGCTGTGAGTACAAAAGGCTGTGAGGACAGAATTGTAGTGTTGTGCTCAAAGAACAGCACAAGACCACTGTGGCTGGAATAGAGAGGTAGGGTGTATTAGGCAGTTCTCCCATTGCTATAAAGAAATACCAGAGATTGGGTAATTTATAAAGAAAAGTGGTTTAATTGGCTCATGGTTCTGCAGGCTGTACAAAAAGCATGGCAGCATTTGCTTCTGGAAAGTCTTTAGGGAGCTTTTTACTCATGGTAGAAGGAAAAGTGGAAGCAGGCTCTTACATGGCAGGAGCAGGACTGAAAGAGTGGGAGGTGTCACACACTTTTAAAACAACTGGATCTCATGAGAACTCACTATCATGAGAACAACATCAGTGGGGAAATTCACCCTCATGATCCAATCATATTCCATCAGATCTCACCTCCAACATCGGGGGTTACAATTCTAACATCAGATTTGGATGGGGAGGCCAGGCATGGTGGCTCACGTCTGTAATCCCAGCACTTTGGGAGCTGAGGCAGGTGGGTCACTGGAGTTCGAGACCAGCCTGGCCAACATAGTGAAACCCCATTTCTACCAAAAATACAAAAATTAGCTGGACATGGTGGCAAGTGCCTGCAATCCCACCTACTTGGTAGGCTGGGGCAGGAAAATCACTTGAACCTGGCAGGCAGAGGTTGCAGTGAGCCAAGATTGTGCCATTGCATTCCAGTTTGGGTGACAGAGCAAGATTCCACCTCAAAAAAAAAAAAAAAAAAAGATTTGTGCTAGGACACAGATCCAAACCATATTATGGGGAAGTGTGTGAACAGATGAGATTGGAGAAGTACACGGCCCAGATTTAGAGGGGACTTGTATGTAAAATCTAACTTTCAAAGGAGGGAAATCTGTTGAAGAGTTTTGATTAGAAGAGTAACACATTTTATTTAACCTTTAAAGAGACCCTCTAGTTGTTGCAGGGAAAATCAGAGTATAGGAGATAAGACCAGAAACAATGAGGATAGTTAGAAAATTATCAGTGCAGGGTGGGTGAGATATGGTGGAGTTGGACTGGGATGGTAGCAATGGAGGTGGCAAGAAGTGTTTACAATTTGAACCTTGAGCCAGTAGGATGTGTTGATGGATGGTTGCAGTAAGTGAGAGAAGAAGTCAAATGTAACTCTCAGATTTGGAGCTTGAACGATTGGATAAAGTGTATTGCCATTACTAAGATGGGAAAGAATAGGTAGGGGCAGAATAAGAAATAAGAATTAGGCTTCAAACATGTTAAATGTGAGATGTCTATTAGATATGCAATTTCATTAATGTGGTGTCATAAACTGATTTACAAAGGAAACAAATAATAACCACTTTATGGTTATAAAGCATATTCTCATAGCTTATCTACTTTGAATATTATTTTTTAAACCTCTAGAACAGAAATTAAACAGAATTTATTTGAGCAAAGAATGATTTATGAATTGGGCAGCACCCAGAACCAGAAGAAGTTCAGAGAGCTCCACCCAGCAGCATGAGCAGCAAGCTTTTATAGGACACAGAAGCAAAGCAGAGGAATCATGTGATTGACACAGCTAGGTGTTTATCATATTTGGGCATGCTCTGATTTGTTGGCTGCCTATGATTTGTTGAAACTCAGCTATTTGTTACAAAAAATATATTCGTAAGTCAGGCTGCAGTTTGCTACAGAGGAACTCAAAGTACAGAGACAGCCTTGGGCAATGGCCTCCTTCTTATTTAATTCAACAAGTATTGCAACCATGTGGCAGCTTTGATGGACAATTTTTTGTGCTTTTGCTCTTGTCTTGGCTGAGGCTATGTTTTTTTTCCATCTTCTGCTGAAGTATTTTCTTGCTCAAATAAGAATTTCCTGATTTGGTCTCTGGGCAAGCTGTGAAAGAACAAAGAATTTTAACATCTGGCCGATTTAAAGTTCTGCCAACTTCTGCTAAAGTTCTGCCACTTTCACTTCAATTTTATAAGGCTTCAACTGGAAATTTAAGATTAAAACATACGTATTTGTGTACTAATATAAATTATAAAGGTCATCAATATCGTCAGCAATGTTACATATATTAATCATTTAATCCATACAACAATTTCCATAATACAAAGGAGGCAGCTGAGCTGTGCCAATATTAGGTAACTTTGTCCAAGATTCCAGGGAAAGGAAGTGTTGAAACTAATCTTTAAATTAGGCAATCTGGTCTCGGGGTGGCACTCCCAACCATCTCATACTGTCTCACTGGAGAAACTCTGAGAAAGTGATTGCCACAAATAAGATTGTTTAGGTTTAAATAGTAGGTGGTAAGAAAGTCAAGTCAGAGAACAGATAATTATTTTAACCTGTTTCTTCATTAAGATATTTGATGCCAGGTGCAGTGGCTCACGCCTGTAATCCCAGCACTTCTGGGGGCCGAGGCAGGTGGATCACGAGGTCAAGAGATCAAGACCATTCTGGGCAATATGGTGAAACCCCGTCTCTACTAAAAATGCAAAAATTAGCTGGGCGTGGTGGCGCGCCCCTGTTACTCCCAGCTACTCGAGAGGTTGACGCAGGAGAATCGCTTGGACCCGGGAGTCGGAGGTTGCAGTCAGCTGAAATCATACCACTACACTCCACCTGGGTGACAGAGCAAGCCTCCATCTCAAAAGAAAAAAAGCAGAAAGTACACAAATCAATGACCTTAAACTAAGAACAGATGAAACCCCATCTCAAAAAAAAAAAAAAAAAAAAGAAAATATTTGAGTGCCTCTATGTATCAGGCATTGTACTAGTAATATAAAAACTATGGTAGCTCTCAGATTAGGAAAGGAGATGGAGAAAATAGTATTTTGAACCAGAGCAAGATGCAGGAAAGTTTTGCCTTGCCTCTTAATTTTAGGATAATGAAGACTTAGGCACATTTGTAGAATGAAGGGAAGGAGACATTGAAAGGGAAAATTTGAAGACATTGATCTATTAACCTTCAAAGAGTGGTCATTTGCAGTAACATTATTTCTCTGATGTTCAGAATTTTTATAGTTTCAACAATACAGTTGTAAAACATACAGATTACAGTCCAAAAAAATTTGGCATTTAAAAAGTATATTTTAAGTCTGAATTATATGCTCTGGATGTCCACCTTGATCAAATTTCTACTTAGCATTTTCTAGAAATAGTTCCAAGGTAATTTTTTTCCTATTCCATCAGTCATTTCTACTTCCTTATTATGTTTTTTTTGCAAGCAGTTTGCAGTTATTGATGAATAGCTTATCAAAAGCATTTTTTTTCCAAGGCAAAAAAAGACTGGCTGCCAAAAATTAGATGAATTTATAAATTCATGCTTTATTTAATCTATCTACATTTATCATTTATTTATTTACTTATTTATCTATTTGTTGCCTATATTACAAAAGCTTGGATTCCTAATGCAGACGTGAAATGATTAAAAAGGAATTATGCAAGTTAAAATATCAGGATCGCCAGAGGCTACCTTGTTTTTCATATGAAGCATATGAAGGGTGTTGTTTCAAACGAGGGCATGGAAACTAGTAAGTATTGGCTTCTGTTTTTGTTGTACGCTTTCCAGAGATTTTTAACTGAAGACTCTATGCTCTGTAGTTCTTTCCACAGAGAGCTGACTGATATTTGAAGAAGTGTTTTCATCTATCCAAGAAAAATATGATGTCTCTAGCCCAAGCCTCACTCTTATTCTTCAATGTATGTATTTTTATTTGTGGAGAAGCTGTACAAGGTAACTGTGTACATCATTCTACGGTAAGAATTTTAGCAATATTATATTAGCTAGGAAAGCATGATTAGCTTTCAAGACATATATTAGAATTTTGAAAAGATTAATCATACTACCAAATATAATTTATGAAACAATTAAAACATTGATTTAGAAATGTTGAAAAATTGCTTAAATGTTACCATTTTTAAACTAAAGAAGCTATAAAATACTGAGGATTGACTCAACAAATTTCTTATGAAAAAATTTTAAAGATATGTCAGGCCTAGATTAAAAACTAGCCTACAACTTTTTGATGAAATATCTGGTGGGTAATAAAAAATCACTTTGCTTAAAAAAAAAGCTGTTCCACAACTTTCATATTTCAAATATCGTCCTGTGAGTGACTACCTAGGAAATTAAGAAACTGGTTCATTAGGTTTTATTTACTCATCAGGTTTATTTGTGGAAGTTTAAATTAAACAGCTCATTTTTCTCTGATAAGCCTTGCCTTTCCTGAAATCTAAGCTTTTCCCTATAGTCTTCTTATTTATTATGTATTAGGTCATACAACATGTTTAAGGTATTTTTTCTTATTTTTATTTTTTAATGTAAAGGACTCTCCAGTAGTTAACATTGTAGAAGATGTATCTAATGCAAAAGATGGAAGTAAAAGTAATGATACTGTTTGTAAGGAAGACTGTGAGGAATCATGTGATGTTAAAACAAAAATTGCACGCGAAGAAAAGCATTTCATGTGTAGTAAGTATTAAAATAAACACAATAATAAGGTTACATAATTTATTTTTTTTAGGGTACACGTTGAAAAGTTCTACACATCCTGATCATTCTAGGCCAGAATTTTATTTGTCTTTATTGTTTGGCAAATAATAGCTGCTTAATAAATATCTGGTAAATGAATGGATCCTTTTCCCATGTAGCTAATTCTGTGTGTAGCACAAGGGTCTCAGGCTTCTCAAATAAATGAGTGGGGCTCTAGGCCTATTAAGACAGATGTCTAAATTCAGGAAAAAACTAATAGAAAGTGAGAGACTAAAAATAAAAAAAGAGAGATGAAGCTGAGTGAGGTAGAATTTAAAATATCAAGATTTATTAATGTGATTCTATTGCTGGTGGAAAGAAATTTAGAAGGAAAATACATTTGTAAAGAATAACATATGTAATAATGCGGGGGCCCTTTTGTTATAGAGGGCATCATTATTGCTATCTTGGGTAAAACTCGCATAGGTTCTGAGAGATACAGGTAGTCCATGTTTATTTCCTAATTTTGATGGTTGTTTTATTAGAAATGTCTTTGGTGTAAGAACTACACACTGAGATAGCATGGTGGTACATCATGGCAACATGGTCTCAGAGGCATTAGGAAAAAGTTATTTGTACTGCTATTGCAACTTTTCTATAAGAAATTTTCTTTTAAAATAAAAACATTTTTAAAAGGAAAATGTATAGTAAATGCTTAGTCAGAAACCAAATAACCAAAATCTTTGACTAAGATTTATTTTGTGTATGTATATGCATGTGCTAGCAATTTAATTAAATACAAATATAATATTAATAGAAAAATTAAAATAAAGATGTAGTTTTAAAATTAACTGCCTGGTATAAAATTGTTACCATTAACTTTCTTATATAATAAGGATTGATAAATCCCATACCTCCTGCCTCTGTATTTCTCATCTTATAAAGTGAGACTTTATAATCAGAACATTGTCTCTTAATAATAACAGATTAATTATTCTGGGTAATCTATATTAGTAGGAAGCATAGTTTCATTAAGAAGTATTGAGACAATCATTTCCTTGGTTAATCCTGAGTTAAACAAAATGTATACTAACTCAAATATGTAATTCTGAGTATTAAGATAAACTGAGATATTACTGAGTTAACATACATATCCAAAATCATGTAAAATGCACTGTTTTTCACTGTAATAATTTTCCACAACAATATAATATTTAACAGTCACTTTTTATTATGGTTAAGGAAATTTACAAAGTTCTATTGTTTCCTACACAAGAAGTACCAAAAAACTACTAAGAAATATGATGGATGAGCAACAAGCTTCCTTGGATTATTTAACTAATCAGGTACAGATGTTTTAATATTGCATCGTTATTGCATGTGCACTTTGATGTATAGTTAGCTGGAGGTATAATTTTTTTTTAATGCATTCATGTTCAGACCTCTATTTAGCACATACTATGTTAGAGGCACCATAGTAAGCTCCAGGCAAACAAAAAGCAATAAAAAAGTTGCCTTTCATTCAAGGGATATGCAGTCTAGTGGAGCATTAAAATGTATTGAAAAAATTGTGGTTGTTATTAGAATGGCACAAAATGGAACTCTCAGATGCCAGAAAGCTTCCTGGAGGAGAAAGTCTGTGAACTGTCATGAAGGATGAATAAATGTTTTAAAAGTCATAAAAGTTGGATAAGGAGAGGAGGACATTCCATTCTGAGGAGACTTCTTGGAGTTGGTGCAGGGTGGAGTGTCTGGTGAGGCTGAGTATTTAAGGAAAGCTGACTATAGGAATAGTCAGGAACCAAATCATATGACACCAAGGAGCCACTGCAGTGTTTAAGCAGGGAAATGCCACAATCTGATCAACAACTTGTGCGGCGAATGACTTGAGGAAGAGCCAAGGGAGGAGGTAAGAAACTACAGCAATAGTTTGGGCAAGGTATGAAAGACAGATGTGCAAGAGCAGCCAAAGGCAGAAATAGGGGTAGATAAAATCAATGTTAAGGAGGTAGATACTATAACATTTAATGATTGCTATTTAGTTTTGCCTTTATTCTTTGTTAAAGCAGTAAGAAATCAATCTAGAAGAATGAAATACATAATCACTATTATGTATTTCAGAGCTGGGTTTATATGAGGCTTACAGATGGCAATTTCTTCAAATATAAATTTACTTAAATGTGTATGCATGTGTTTAGGTTAACGAGCTCATGAATCGCGTTCTCCTTTTGACTACAGACGTTTTTAGAAAACAACTGGATCCTTTTCCTCACAGACCAGTTCAGTCACATGGTGAGAACTTTGGTATTGCAGCCTTTTCATGTTTGTCTTTCACTGCTTAAAATTTTCCTGGACAGGTCGATGCATTTAAAAGTTTTGTTTAAAAAATACAGCTCACCATTCTCTAACAGACTGGAGGGCTAATACCTGCGATTAAGCAAATTTCACCACACAGTGTGAACTTTCTTAAAATGGGAAGCTTTTTCAAGCATTTGAAAGCCATGGCTGTATAAAGATACCCTGAAACTGTTGAAAATAGCATAGCTTTCTGTAGCTTTATTCTGGGATCCCAGTTTACATCTTATTAATAATTCATCTTCAGATAGAAAAGAAAGTTTCAAAGTTCCTCCCACCTATAAAAAATGTTTCTGACATGCTTGAAAAGTTTCAAATTGAGGCATAAAATTTGAAAGGAAAGAGAAATGTAAGACAAGAATAAACTGAAAGTTAGCACTTTTTATACCAAAATACAGAATATTAATTCCTAGAGGCTTGGGCTTTTAAGAAAAATGCCCTATAAATTTTAGAAGTATGACTTTATCCCAGAACATTTCAAGCAAATAAATATTATTGAGGGCCTAGAAAATGATCTTCATGTTCTTCTTCGAAGAAGATAACTAACAGTGCCTGAAAATCTTCTACGTAGTAGGTAGGAAGACAGGCACTTTCTCACGTTATTTTGTTATAAAAAATTAGTTTATTATATCTCATTTATTTCCCATAACTGCCCCAAAGCAGGTATAATGTGGTAGTCAGGAGCATGGCTTCTGATGTCAGAATCATTGGTTTCAAATTTCTGACCTGTTGCTCTCTTGATATGTTTTCTCATCAGCAAACTGATAGCACCTACCTCTTATAGTTGAAGTGAGGATTAAATGAAAAAATACAGTAAAGTCTCTTAAAATATTGCCCGATGCATAGGAAGAGCAATACAAAGGCTTGCTGTGATCGAGACCATCAGATAAGAAATATCCAGCCCAGAAATATCAAAATAACCTGTTCACTTTAATTTGAAAGATAATGATAAAGCAGATGCTTCAACCCAGATCAGTCCTTCAGTGTGAACTTCTATCATGTCTCTGAGCATAAAGTCATTATAAGACTGTCTCTTAACAGTTAAGGACACTGGCAACAAATCTATGTATCCTGGAGATGAAGGGAAAAGCAAATGACTTTTTATAGCTAACTTTTTGTACATGGCTTTTTCTGCATTGTTTGGGTGTACTGGGCATGATGGTAAGTGCTTTATGTAATACCTTACTATGTAAATGGTTAGCATAACACTATGAAGTAAAGTGTTAGGAGTAGAATAGGATGTTAAGGCAGGCATTTGGATAATGGACACTCTAAGGGCTGAATTTATTTCATTTATAAAAGACGCTACAGAGTAGAGTATCTTCCAGAAAATGTAATATCTGTATCCACATACACATGTTTACAATCCTGGGGAGATGAGTGCTTTGGAGAAGGTAATTACGGGGTGCTATAGTTCTAATTGTTGTAAACAGAGTAGGCTCTAACCTCAGGCATAATTTCTTGGTGGAGAAAGTGATTTCCCCGTTTCTTCCTTTGGCTACTGGTATTAGTGGTCCCAAACACATCAGTCTCTGAAGTTGGGAATAAAGTGGTGAAAGATGTGACTGTGGTGCTTCATCTGCTTATTCCTTTCAATTTTCTCCTCCCTATTCACACAGATTTCCTTTACACATTATATCTTCTAAGATAAACCTAAATTTCTAAAAGGGCATTATTTATTGGTAAAGAGAATGTGTAATTATAAAATATGTTTAATAAGTGTAGATCCCAAATGAAAATTTTAAACAGTATAGAAAATTTATCACTAACAGTCATATTATAAGTGAAGGCTTATTGCAGCATAAATTCTTTAATCCCTTATATTTTCTTCTTATTTCTAAAATTGTGATCATTTTTCATTTTGAAGTTAAAATAATATTTTTAATAGAAATGATAATAGCACAATCAATAGTAAAATGATTACCTTAAATATACACTTGAAAATAATCCCAATTAAATAATTTTCCTTTTCTAGGTTTAGATTGCACTGATATTAAGGATACCATTGGCTCTGTCACTAAAACACCGAGTGGTTTATACATAATCCACCCAGAAGGATCTAGCTACCCATTTGAGGTAAAGTTTTCCCTTATTATGTGAGATAAGATAAATATCCAACCAATTTAATTTATATTAAAATTTAAATTGTTTTAATATTTTTTCCTGGAAATTTTTAAATAAATTAGGTAAAGTTCTAGTTTCAAAATTTTGGTTTTGTAGAATTCTAATGCCCAAAACATGAATTAGTAAAAGAGCTAGAGTCTGTCTTTCCCATTTCTATTTGTGTTTCCATGGTTACACTCTTTAAAGTAAACCCATTTGATGTAAAAGCTTATTATTATCCTTATAATAGGCAGCACTATAGCAGGCAGAACTATGCAATATAAATACTTGCTTGCTTTAATTAGCCTTTGGATATTAGAAAATAATAATGTGCTTTGCCTTGGAGCTTACTAAAAACACTTTTGACTTCCCTTCTTGTATATGGTTATAATTTCTTTTGATGATAGATGGTTTTATGTGATCATATAAGAAATTAACAATTTAAAAACCCTTTCAGTGGGGTGCAAGGCAGATTGAGAAGCTGATTCATTCTGAAATTGATAAAATAAATTACTCTTATGTCTATCATTAGTAGTTTCTGCAAGGATATCTAACAGAAATTTCTATTGGAGACTATCCATATTGATGAAATATATTTTTGTGTGTTAATAATATTTATATAAATAATATATATATATAAATATATATATATATATATTTCCATGGACACTTCTTTGTGCAGAAGAAAGTTTATGATACTTATACCTTATTGATAGTCTTTATTGCATAATAAAGTCATTTTTTTCCTAAGTAGATTCTACTAATTTCTCTTCTTAGAGCTACTACCATTATTTTATATAAAATCTATTGACAAGATGTCAAAAAATTGGAAATTAGGTGGGAAATAGTTTTAAAATTACCTAAATTACTTCAGCTACAGATTCAAAACTGGATCTGAACAGATGTGGAAAAGGAAGGCTTCTAATTTTGTGAAGAGTGGGATGCTTAATCACCTATTTTGTGGGAAAGTGCTGGTTTCTTAACTTCCTCCACAATGCCTTTTCTCTGTCTCAATGCGGGAAGTTTCCGATGGAGATTTTTGCTCTGATTTCTTCCCTATATTACTTCTATGGGACCCCTACAGGGGTCCTTTTAAGGGGCATTTTACACAGCATCAACAGATGTGCCTATGAGCACCTGCCAAGTGGGTACAGATCATGCCTTTCTCTCTGAAAATGCTAGTCTGAACACAGGCCTTCCAGGCTTGTGGGAGAAAAGAGCAAAGACAAGCACATGAACATCTTTCTCTCTCTCTCTCTCTCTCTCTCTCTCACACACACACACGCACACACACACACACACACGTGTTTTAATTCAAAAGTTTAGTTTATAAAGATATACATTGCTCTGCCACATCAGAGCAATACTGTTATACAAACTGAAGACTATTTATAAAGTTGAGAAGTAAAAGGATAACCTTAAAATATTGCAAATACATATTTTTAAAAATGATTGTTATAGGGACTGTAATTAGGTTAGTTACAAATTTCTTTTATAATAAACAGTATTATTTAGGTTAATTACAGGATTATTTTATAATAAACAGTATTATTATTTCTAGAGATATAAATCAATCTGAATAAATTAATGGCATAGGATTGCATTGAAAACTCAGTGGCAGTATCTTCTCTTTGTCTAGGTTTAAGGATGAAGCATGAATGGTACATTATCAAATACTAAAAATAATAGTGTATATTTTGGTCTTTTCTGTGCTGGTTTTAGGTAATGTGTGACATGGATTACAGAGGAGGTGGATGGACTGTGATACAGAAAAGGATTGATGGGATAATTGATTTCCAGAGGTTGTGGTGTGATTATCTGGATGGATTTGGCGACCTTTTAGGTTAGTTTTTTTGTATTTCTACTCTATATTTTTTACTCTTTTTGATATTATATCTATAGAGTCTCTATTGGTCAGATCTTTAGTAAAGAGCAGATGCTTGCAAATCTCAAAATATGCTTAAATCACCCTCTTTTCATATGCTAAATTTTTGAAATAAGTAGATCGTCAGTTGAGATCTGGAAATCTTTATTAGGTGAAATAAAGATTTATCTGGTGAAATGTGATTTGAGTGAAAATTCTAAATTAGATATGTATTATGTATCTACTATGGACCCAGCAGAGTTCTGGCAGGTGCTCACCAACTACCTGCAGAATGAAAAACTGAATGGGAATGTTGTTCTAGATCTTAAAATTCTTGAGATGTGTGTTGTATCTATACAAGCCAGTGAAACAGCGAAATACAGTATGTGCTTATGCAAATTCAGATTATTTAAACTGAGCATATTATTAAAATGTCAGTAAACATCATTATGTTCAAAATTTGAAAATTACAACCCTAGATGAATGTAAAATCTGTTTACATTATTGCTGCATGGCAGCATCTCTTTTGCTGGTAAACAGAAACACCAATATTTCTGGACTTTGCAGAGTTTTACATTAGTTGGAACTTCTGCCAGTGAGTTTGTGAATGTTTATGCTATTTTAACAGTTACTGTTTTTATAATTTTAAATCTTTAACCTCTCATAATAATGTCATCCAAGGATTCAGTAAGTGGTGGTGTTAGTCCTAGTGTTAAAAAGCAACTGCATGCCAGTGATTTTAGAAGCCATTTGGCTTATACCCAGGTAACTGCCATGCTGTGGAGTGTAGTTAATATATTTGCGTTTTCTCAGCATTGCTTCTTGATTTTCCATTGAGTGTTTCTCTTGAATTAAATAGTTATATGTCCACATACAGGTTTTGAATTGCCATCTTCCTTTCTTCAAGTTTATTTCTATGGGGAAAGAATATGAGTTTTGACTAACTAGGTCTTCAGGCAGATATACTGCATGCAGGTTGAGCCTGCTTTTTACTAATGTGTTTTGAAAACAAATTTGGGGCCCGACATAGTGGCTCAGGACTGTAATCCCAGCACTTTGGGAGGTTGAGGCAGATGGATTGCTTGAGGCCAGGAGTTCAAAACCAGGGTGACCAACATGTTGAAACCATGTCTCTATAAAAATACAGAAGATGGATTCACAGCCGAATTCTATCAGAGGTACAAAAAGGAGCTGGTACTATTCCTTCTAAAACCATTCCAAGCAATAGAAAAAGAGAGACTCCTCCCTAACTCATTTTATGAGGCCAGCATCATCCTGATAAAACCTGGCGTAGACACAACTAAAAAAGAAAATTTCAGTTCATTATCCCTGATGAACATCAGTGCAAAAATCCTCAATAAAATATTGGCAAACCAAATCCAGCTGTACATTAAAAACCTTACCCACTATGATCAAGTCAGCTTCATCCCCGGGATGCAAGGCTGGTTCAACATATGAAAATCAATAAACGTAATCCATCACATAAACAGAACCAATGACAAAATCCACATGACTATCTCAGTAGATGCAGAAAGGACCTTCAATAAATCTCAACACCACTTCAGTCTTAAAACACTCAATAAACTAGGTATTGATGGAAAGTATCTTAAAATAATAGGAGCTATTTATGTCAAACCCACAGCCAATTTCATACCGAATGGGCAAAACCTGGAAGCATTCTTTTTGAAAACTGGCACAAGACAAGGATGCCCTCTCTCATCACTCCTATTCAACATAGTATTGGAAG